ATGGTAAGCAATAATGTAGAAATGTTCCTTTTCTACTTCTGAGTGTGGAAAATTCTGAGACACAGTAGACTGTTCTTCGAAGTTGCTGGCGTGTAAGAATGACATTAGTTATCACTTGCAAATGTGTCACCCTTTAAAGCTTGTCGGAAAGAAGAATATAAATTAATTCTAATTTTCAGAACCTTTCTAATTGTTACTGAAAAAAGGAATAACATTGATTAAATAACTGAGACGTTCAAATGGGTTACAGCTGTTTGCGCTGAATTGTTTTGTATTATATCAAAATATTCGCATATTTTTATACAATAAGAAATATATATATATATATATATATATATATATATATATATATATATATATATATATATATATATATATATATATATATATATATATGTAATACTTTAGTAATATATAGCATTTAGTTTAGTATATTTATATTATAGCCCATTCATTGTAAAAATTTAAATGCATCGCCAACATTAGTATTAATTTATATAATACGAACATTGCCCTTCTTTTTTTCTCTTGTAAATATAGTAAATATTCTTCAAAATTTCTCATTTTACATATTGTATTGTCTGACTGACTGTAAATAATTGACTATGTGATTTAATTATCACAAGTGAACAGTAATTATAGAGGCCTAAATAAAAGTCTACGAAGATTTCTAGTAGGTATCTAGCCCAAAATCTTTTAAAGATGTATTTTAAGTAGCATTTTTATACATGGTATAATGGGGAAAATTAAATAAAAATATAAATTTATAAACAATAACTATTTTTCAATCGACAAGTTGTCAATTTTAAATTACTGCATTCAAATTAACTGAACACGAATTCAAAAATATTTATACGTTTGCTAATTGAAACTAGCAACGTTAATTTGACGTGAATTTTTAAAAGCAATGACCAGTGTAATTCATAAAAAGGTCTTGAACGCATAAAACTCGAGCACTTTTGAGATAGAAGTCTGAGAACTCGTAAAACCCGCGAGCACTTTTGCTTCACAGCATATTTTTTGTACAAGCCTAAATGAAAATTAAAACTATATATATCAGTAATATTTAAGTGTATTATTAAGTACATTATAACCTCAGTCAAGCGAGATTATTTGAGAAGGATACACAATACATAGGCGGTCGCCGGTCGCGCTCATTTCACCATTTCTTTGCTTGAGCAGCACAGAGCCACATTGCTGCTCCAGACTGAATTTCATTAGATCCTTTTTCCCAGTTTTTCTTAACACAGTTGAGAGTTTCTTTCTAAGACACAAATCGCTAACTTCTCTGGAAACGATGTGAAGCACTTTCTGTGTAACCACTTTGAGGACGGGTTGCATTTCATAACTGCCGTACAGTGTCTCTCGATAGAGGTCCATACAGTAACGCTTTCGAAACCTAATATATTGTAAGTATCATCTACAGTTTTACTCACAGTTCTAAGGAGGTAGGAATGGAATATAGGAACGATAAAAGCTGTGTCCATGGACTATGACTTAGAGGTAACTTTCAATTCAGGCTCAACAGCCGTTTCAACATTTTATACTGATATTTTGATCAGATCAGCTATATCATGGGCACTTCTTCCAAAAACAAATAATCTATCATTATTTGTGCTGTTTTCGGAACAAAGGAAACACTTTTCGCCAACGTCAGTCACTTCCTTTGTAGTCTCGCTCATGTCATATAGAATATAAACAAGTTGATTATTTCAAGCATGCGTGTAATATTTTAACAGCAGTTAACACTGAGATATATTTAGCACTGAACAATTAATTAGTCACTACTGAATTTGGCGGGAAACCTACGTCATGCCGTTTCCTGATTGGTCAACTTGAAACAATGGGAATGGAATGTGCTGTTGCAGTAAGCAGCCTACTAGTAGGAAGAAAACCTCGGACCCGCGAATAGGCTGCGTAGGAGGCTACGGGGCACTGGGATGTCTCAGATTTCAAAGTTTCCCAGGGGAGCATTGCCCCCGACTCCCCTGACAAACTGACGCCTTCGACGTTGGCTATAGCCCACTTAATTTAAAAATGGCTGCGTAGTTGACCTCCATCGGAAATTCCACAAGCTTCAATGGCTAGCAGGTGGTCGGTACAAGCTCGCTCGTCAGTCGGTTAAAATTACCTTACACTCCCCCTCAAAAATTTTCTGGGGATGGCCCTTCTCGGGATACACTCATTTTGAGTGATGAAGTCTCTTCATTTGCCTAGCTTTTTAACGCATCCGCCACAGACAAATGGACTCGCTTTTCTAACTTGGCTTTCCAAGTTCCAGTGTTCAGGAATTGCTTTGAAATCTCATTCACTCTCGACAAAATTTGTTTCATTAATTTTCAGCAACAAATTCAGACACAATATGCAAATGTTCTACTTGTCAATTACACATTTCTTTGGCGCCGATATGTTGCATGGAATAAGAAAACAGAAGGTAATTAAATTTTCCTAGTTTATCCAATGCATAATTTTTATAAATTTAGAAAGTGTGACTTCGAATTAATGCAAAGACGTTTATTGGGGGCGAACCATTACAAACCAGACTGAGGGAGCGAAAGGGGGAGAAATTTTCAGTTTCACGATTTTCTTTCGGTCGCCTCCTTGTGCTGACATTTTTTACCGAATTTTAAAGGCTTTGGTTTCTCTCTCTGCACTATTTTTTTCCTTTTCACAAAATTTCTCCCCCCCCTCTACCCCCTCGATCCTGTCAGCATTTCTAATGATCTGCCCCTTAAAGCCAGTTTATTTCCGCCCATGAGCCATCTGTGACACAGCCTTGCTGTTTTCTCATAACGAGAGTCATGGCGAATTTGACTTCCTTGTCTGTTTTTATACTGTTCGTATTATATTTTGTTACGTACGCGCACGGAATTCGAAATCATGATTTTGAAATTTTACAAGATTATCTTAATTTTGTCGAAGCCAAATTAAAAATGCGTCCGTGTAGCGAAAACTATAATATATTGGGCCATAAGACGATATTCCATGACTATTCATTTTGGGACAATGAAATAAAATTTGCCAACAATGTTGCAAATTACCTTACATCGATGTGGCGGTATAAAGACGGGAATAATCGTTCCTTGATCGAGAACGAAGAGGCTATATACACTTTAACAAGTAGTATAGCAATATCATCTGATCGAATCTACGCTTCGGCTGTATGCTTCGATAGAAATAAATTCCAAGCGAGACGGCAGTTTTGTCCATACGCTTTTAAGAATAGCAGTGGGGATCCACTAATAGTTCGTGACTTGGGAAGATTTAACGACTATCTCACGCCTCACTACGTGCAGATGAAACAAGACAATAACACATATATCAAGCACAAGTTCATTTGGTGGCATGTTGGCAAAAAATATCTTTCAAACGCCACCCAGCTCCAACAGAACACTGTATATTTCGATAAAAACTTAGACTACCTGGCCACTAATGGTCTAAACGTATCTGCACTGAATGGAGAATACTTTAATATTACATCGAAATATATTCCCGTAAGCTTTGGGAAATGGACTACGCCGTATTATGATTGTTTTGGAGGGATAACATGGGTGATTTCTTATCTGGTGCCGTTTTTTGACGAAGCTGACAAATATTTGTGAGTATTATTGTAGATAAATTAAAATAATTAATAAATGGCTTGTTATAGTTTGAGAATACCATGCATCATCAGTTGTTTCAATAATGGATAAAAAATTCTGGGCTTATTATTATTACAATATTGCCTGCTCCCAAAAGGGGTAATTACAAATCCTTTATATGCTACAAACAATTTAGATACACCCACAAACATACACACAAACATACATACAAACACAAATTAAAATTTTATAATTATTAGTAATGTCACTTTAAAAATGTTAACTATACTTCCTAATAAAATCCATACAGTAAAAACGTTTATATGCTAATTTAAACAAGCCCAAATTGTCTAAAACTATTAACTACTTTCTAAAAATCCATGCAATAACTGACATTTATATTCTAATTTAAACCGGTCCAAAGTGTCAACTGATGTCTTTATTATGATTTGGGAGCTCATTCCAAATAGACACTGCGCGATAATGAAACGTTTGCTGTCCGGAAGCCGAATTATACAGTAGAATGTCTAACTTATCCTTACCGTATTTACTCGTTTGAGCGCCGCGGCGCTCTTTAAATTTCCAGAGCTTCAGCTGCGGCGCTCATTCGGGGGCGGCGCTCAATCGGAGGCGGCGCTCTTTAAGAAATATTTTATTTGTGATTTATAAATAGAAATTTTAACAATAAAATAAACAAGTTTTAAAAGGGTTTTTGTCACTAAATGTCCCCATTTTGACGGTGGAATGTTTTTACACTGTTTAGTACGGCGCTCATTTGGGAGCGGCGCTCTTTAAAAAAAATTGATCTCAAATGCGGCGCTCATTCGGGGGCGGCGCTCAATCGGGGGCGGCGCTCAATCGGGGGCGACGCTCAATCGAGTAAATACGGTATTTCTGGTGTTAACACTGTGAGTATTTGATCTCATTTCGAATTTGTCACACAATATGGCGGAGCTAACCCTTTCATGCACTTAAATGTCATAACCGCATCCCTGAGTTTTAACATACATTCAACTGGGGGCCAAGCTAACTGCTGAAGGATAGACATCACATGGTCATAATTTCTAATTCTGGTAATGACGCGTGCCGCGAAGTTTTGCACGCTTTGGAGTTTGATATGTTCTTTTTCGAGGTGTTCGACCAAACGAGGAGCAATAATACATAACCAATGCATTTATAACGGAGGTAATGAGGGATAAAGTGTGTTTGCAATAAAATTCAACTTATTGCAAACGGGGAGGACGGGCGAAGACTATATAGCAAACATGTGTACAGGAAATGTTAATAATTAACCAGATTCTCCGAAGCCAATGGCCAGAGGCATTTTTAAGGTGCATCATAAAATGCATGCTTCACTAGCTTTGTTGCGCTCTTCTAAGCAGGGCTTGCTAAGCTAAATATTATGCCAATACGCCGTTCTGGACATAAATCCACTATTCAAAAACAATATTATTAAAGAATAATCGAAGCATAAATATGTCAGTTAATTTTATATATCTAACGGTTCAATGCATACAGCGATAATAGAATTTCCCATTGTTTAACTAGGCGTCTTCATCTTTTGAAAGCTACAATTTTCGGATGGGAATTGAACCAATTTTGCTTATGCTTGTTTTGCAAGTGCCACACAGGTAGAATTAATTATTTATTCGGCTTAAAGTCCTAGCATTCTGCTATATGGCAATTGACTGAAGCAAACAGAAAAAAAATTGTTTGCATTTGTAGTGTTTTATTTTTCAGTTTGGACGCTCAAATATAGCAGATGTTTCTTTCGAAAGAATATGTGTATTGTATATGGGCCTACAGTATATGGGGTTCGATGGAATGCGCTTTTGATAAAATTTTGAATATTTAGCTTCCCGAATGCAACTATTATATTTTCCTGTCAATTTGCGTTCACTTTTAACTGCAATTTTTGCCTGTCAATGTTCTTATATGTAATTCACCTGAAAATATTCATGAACAAATATTGGTAAGCGGGAGTTTAACACAAACCAGCACCTTCTCCCCTGTTTGTATTTAATAAATTCCTTAGCACAGATAAAGTATAGGCTCATTCGAAAAATTACAGACGGCTTTTGTATGATCGAAAAGAAAGGAACTTAGTGGTAGAAAGCGATTAAAAGCTTACCATATTGAACGAAGTGCGCATTTTGGTAGCATAATCCTAGTAGTAAATTTAAGCGCTTACTTAATTACAGGCGGAACGAGTGTTCAAGAAGTGCATGATGAAATGCCTCTCATGCGAGATTTTATGGCTCATTGGCGTACGAATATAAACAAATTATGTACGAATTTGTTGTACGAATTTGTTTGTACACGCTTGCTGATAAATGCAAGCTCGTGGTGTAATGCATTTACTGAGATATTTTTAAAGCTTGTCGGTGTTTTTTTCTCCACAGCAAAGCTTAAACTTATATTTGACATGTTGAATGACCTTGATGCTTTCATGTTGACCTTCCACTCGACCTTCATATATATTATTCATGTCAATATCGAGCAGGTGATGTGGTCAACAAAATCGGATCGGAAGAAATATAATTATCATCCAAAGCAAGCATTGTGCGAACTAACCGGATGCCGATATAAGATCTTGTTCTGTTAGCCTAGCACCAAATTAGAGCTACAACAATGATATACTTGGGAAAACGTGTTTGTGTGACCAGAACAGCCAGGGCCAGAACTACTGGTGTGTGTTTGTATGTGTGTGTGTGTGTGTGTGTGTGTGTGTATGTGTGTGTGTGTGTGTGTG